AATCTCGTTTCAACATGCATTGACTGATTTTCCACAGATCTGGTGTGATAGTTGAACATGCAGGGCTTTTTTTCACATTCAAAATGGCAGCGATTTTCTTTCTTGTGTTTTTGAAAATTACATTTCTGTACATAAAATATCAGATATCCCTCAATGAACACCTCAACCTTGTATATCATGGCATAAGTATGCACATATCTGTCATCCAATCAATTATTAGATGGGCTACAATTGGGCATTATGAAATGTCTGGAACTAGATCTGGCATGTGTGTAATCTTATTTCCATTCATTGAAATTTTAATTATGGGGACTGTTCAATACATCATTTTAATTTCTTGTTTCTGTGAGTTTAGCTTCAATTCAAGGGTAGTTTCAAAACTATGTTCACCAGTTCATCACACACTTGCACAAAAAAGACCAAAAAGCAGTCCGAATATTGAAAAAAAAAAATGTTCTAGATTTTATTAAAGTATAAAAACTAGACAACAAAATGTTTTTGATATACCCTGTTAGTATGCAACATTTACAAAGATGAGATCACCGGAAAAAAGCAAGAAAAAATTACCTTGCACCCAAGATTGAAAATGCCCTCTTTTAGAGGTTGAACATTTGAAACTCCGGGGAGGGGAAGAACATTCCTACAGCAGAATTGAAAACATTTTCCTTAAAAACAACAACATTATCAAGATAAAAAGTCTAGATTAAAACTATTATTTGCACAATTTCCCCTCGCAGAGTATCTAGGATTCAACCACCAATTAGCAAAGACAGAACAATTTACATTGTACTGTAAATTACTTTATTTTCGCTTGGAATTAATTTTCGCTGAAGGAATGTATCAGTGAAAATAAAATACATCGAATATATGTTTTTTCCTATAATTTACATTGAACTCGTCGGGAATTAGTGGAAATAAATTCCATACAAAACACCCAAAAAGTCTTTTCAGCGAAGATTAATTCCAGCTAAAATAAATGATTCCACAGTAGACAAGTCGCTATACAGGGTTGGAGAAAGGGGCTGCCAACTACAACTAGTAAATGTGTAAATCCTGTATACAGAGTACAGTCCATGCCCTGCCCTGGAATGCTGTAAACTGCTAGAAATGTACAATATTATGGCATTCACTATGTGTCGTAGAACCCCTGTGAACTTTTCATTCTTACAAAAGCAGTTTACATCCTTTACATGAATGCACATATGGTAGTACTGTAAAATCTGTAATAGAAACCATGGCTTCTATTAAAATGGTACAATGCAACAGAGAGAATGCGGCTTCTATTAGAGCATCTACACATATGAGAAATGATGAATTTTTGGTTCTCAATTATTCAAAAAGAGTGAGTGCGACTTCTATTAGGGATGCGGCTTCTAATACAGATTTTACGGTACATCATGCTGGAACAGGATTATGGAGACTCCATATAATTACATTCACACTAAACGTGAATTTCTAAACAATTGCAC